CGCGGGCGCTGGCCAGAGGAGCCGGAAGGTTTCCCCGTGGCGGGTGCCCTCCCTGGTGCACACACAGCCCGTGCGTTCCCCGGGCAGGGCGGGGATGGGGGAAGGGCCCTCGGGAATTCTCAGGGGATTAGCCCAAGGAGAGGCCTCAGGGCCTGACTCCTCACAGCAGCTGGACCCCAGCGTGTCTGCGTTGCCGTCAGTGGCCGCCCTGGGAGAGCAGACAGGCCCTTGGAGCTGGACTCGCTCCAGCCAAGCCCCGCGGCAGCGCTGCTGCGTTCCCCGGGCAGGGCGGGGATGGGGGAAGGGCCCTCGGGAATTCTCAGGGGATTAGCCCAAGGAGAGGCCTCAGGGCCTGACTCCTCACAGCAGCTGGACCCCAGCGTGTCTGCGTTGCCGTCAGTGGCCGCCCTGGGAGAGCAGACAGGCCCTTGGAGCTGGACTCGCTCCAGCCAAGCCCCGCGGCAGCGCTGCTCGGGCGCCAGGGGTGTCTCTGATCCTGCAGACGGGAGAGTCCGGCTTCCGGACCCTGCTAGGGTTATGCCCAGCCCCGGACTTGGCCCAGTCCCCTTGCCAGGAGCCTCAGGGGCGCCCCCGGTGGAGGAGACTGTCACCCCTTCATTCCAGGCCCTCAGTGAGCCGGGTGGCGCCCTGGCCCCACGCTGTCCAGGAGCCTAGGGTGATGGTGTCTCGTGGCCACCCCCTGAGGGGTTAACGTCTCTGCAGTCCCTTTGGCCTTGTCGGGTCTGGGCCCGAGTCTTTGAGGTGCCTCCCCAGAGGGGAGTCCAGCCAGACCTTCCCTCCCCCTGTCCCCAGCATGGGCTCCGTGCCAGCTGCCTCGGGTGGGTTTGGTACCCCGGGCACTTCCTGCTTCCAAGAGCTCGAACCGAGGGTCACTCCCTAGGCAGGCTCCTGAACCCCTTGAGACGTTGAGGGGCGTGGGGAGCGGACAGCCGTGCCCGCCTGCAACCAGCAGGCTGGAAGGCCGGAGCGAGGCTGTCCCTTCCCCGCAGGCTGCGGGGAGCCCGGGCCCTGGCCGCAGGCGGGTAGGTGCCATTGTGGCTTAGCTCAGGGCTGGGCTGGGCGCCCGGGGCCTGCAAGGGGCAGAGTGAGGGTCCGTGCAGTCGCGGCCCCAAGGGAAGCGCAGTTGTCGGCTGTGGCTTCCCCAGCCCTACCCGGCGGGTTAGCGGGATGGCAGCAGGGGCCCTGTCAGCGAAGGGCACCTGGCTGCCTTTGCATCGGGCCCCGTGGCTTCCTGTTTTCATGGCACAGGGGCAGGGGGAGGGTCTCAGCCGGGGCCCTGCGTGGCCAGCAGCAGCCGCAGTTTGGCTAGTAGTGTTTGCTATAGTCCCAAAGCCGCTGTCCTCCCTCTCCGGTCTGTGCCATGGCAGCTGCTGCTGGGAAAGTCTCTGCGTGGGACGGGGCCTGGGCTGTGCTGCCTAGTGCCTAGTGCCTAGCTCCGTGGGTCTGTGTGGGAGGGGAGCCTGTGACGCTGGCCAGGAAGCTAGCCTAGGTGAGGGTGCTATGCAGTGCGAGAAGGCCTAGACAGGGTGTAGCCGCTTGGTGGCCTGTAGAAGCCGACAGGAAAGCTAGTGGTCTCTGTGTGGCCAACCGGAGTCTTCATTTCCCGGTTCCTCAGCCAGCTGCCGTCCCCTGCGGCCCTTGTTTGCGGGGCTCTGCCTGCTGCCTGCGTTTCATCGCCAGATCTCCTAAGAGGTGGCTAACGCTAGCCGAGCGTGGACAGAAAGACGCCTCTGCCCATTTCCAGTGGCAGCAACTTTGGCCCCTCCTCTCACCCACTAGCCAGG